ATAAAATATATATTGATTAATTCTTTTTCTGCATTCTTTTTATTTATATCACAAATTATATTCAATAATAAAAGAATTTTATTTTTAATAATATAATGCATTAAAACTATTTTTAATATAATGCAACAAACAAAATACATTGCGCTGCAACATTGCTATGACTTATGACATTAGCGCAATCTTGCGGACATTTTTATGATGCTATGACATTGGAACAATGTTGCAGATACATTGCGCAATCTATTTGCAATATTACAACATTGTAATGATATATTTGCAAGCTTTCTGTGTTTAAGATTTCAACCTATCAAAAACCGATCCTATATATCTGCTAAGTTGAAATCTTAATATTTGTTCCTGTTCCTAATATTTATTCTGTGCGCAGGTCCTTATATTACACATTATTGAAATATTACATTGAATACTACAATATTGCTGCAATATTTCGTGCTGTAGAGAAAGTTATACTTATAATTAATTATAAATTTCTAGCTTGGTGTGACAAGATCGAAAATAATGATAAATGTGGAAAATTATATCGTATATTAATTAATTTAATAATTAATCCAAATCCGATTTACAAATCTATTTTACAAATGTTACTTTTAATGAACATTATTAAATAATATTAAAATATTATATAGTGAAATGTTAATTATTGATACTAAATGAAGTATAATGTAATTAAGTAAATATATAATGAATTATTTAATATCAATAATAAATAATTTATTATATACTTGATATAATATATGTGTTAAATTTTTGCCATGTTTTTATACATGTGAACTTTTACTCATCATCAGCCGATACATAAATATGTATGCTCGTTTGTAGTTATAATAATCTTTCATCTAAGTATATGCATAATTATTACGCAGGTCGTAATAAATGCTCGTGTAAGTGTTTTGCAATGTAGGATATGCATATATATATATATACCCTGCAGCTGGTCTTTCTTCTATAATTATTATTATTTTTGCAGATAGACAATAGTAGAAAACGATATATTACGTAGTTGCAGTTTTCCGATGCGTGGACTATAAACCAAGAATTATATAGAATTATATAGAATCGAAGAAATGTTCGAAATGTATATATAATTATAATTACAGTATGATAAATTTTCATTGTGGCAAAAAGACAGCATGATTTGGAGATCCAGAAATTTTACGCGCCATTAAGAATCTGATGTTAAAAAGTCATAATAAATATGTTAGATAATAAAGATGTCTTGAAGAAAAAATGCGCAGATATCTTTGAAATTTCCCAGAAATCATTTTCCCCACATTGGCAAACTAATTTGCATTCTGGAAACTTCGAATCCTCGATTGCGTAACGATACACGCAATCAGCGTGTGACCCACTAATGTCTTTGAGCATTTCAATTAGTCCATCTAATATATTGTTCATTGTCAGGTACATCCAATCTATATTAAGAGTGTGATTCACAACGCAAATGAATGTAGGTACATAATAGAGTTATAGAAGTCCGTGCTTACATTTTACAAACGAGAGAAAAAATATAAAGATTTATTTATTAACGGCATAATTATATTAATAATAAATTTATCAATTTTTACGCAAACATGTGTCGTGTGTCTAACGTAATACAACTTTTTATTTTATAAAATAATAGTTTTACTACAATAAATATTGTAACTGATGTCTTCCATTTAGTGACACAAGTCAACACAATCGTTTTATCTTTCTTTGCATTCCCTGAATCTAACAATGATAAAACGATACTTGTGTCGTCTTCTGTCATTAAATAGAAGGCACCCATTATAACTAAAACAATATAGTCATTACATAATTTTTAATTTTTTAAAAGTTATTACAAATAAAAATAGAAAAAGTACATTGTTCAACTCATCCTCAGCTAAGTTTGTTAAACAACTTCCTAAGAATGCATATCATTTGAATAAATGCGGTTAAATGCAAAAAGGATGCATAAAAAAAAATTTTTTACATAAAAAAGTAAATAATGATATTTCATATATATTTGTATCTTCATTAATTTGTTGACAAACAGCGGAGTTTCTAACTATCCCCTAATAGAGAGAAAAGTAAAAAAAAACGTTGATTAAATAGTACTTAAGGAAGATTTATTTTACAAGAAGGATTAAATCTATTACTAACTCTTTACACGAATACACATACACACATATGTATTTTATTATCTTCCTTATTTTTTTTTTCAATAAACTTTCTATCGCTATTTTATTAACAGCATATATCTTGATTTAATCGTCAAGATAGTCATCATTATGTATGGTTTTTCATAGAAAATAAAAATCTCTCAGGGACTATTAAAAATGCAATTTTCAAGCTTTCAAAAATAAGGATAGTTTCTCCAAAAATAAGGATAGTTGACAAGCGGTCGTTCTAAAAAATCGCTGTTTCATTTGGCGATTGTTCCTGATCGGACATCTCACACACGGAAACACGTCCTTTTACGCCATCAGAACGCGGAGAGGACGCAGCGGTATAAAACGATGCGTTCATCAGTTCGCGCAATCATACGTCGAGCAGTGTACGGCAAGCAGTGGACTACGATTCAAAACGACAGGTTCGTAATATGTTCGTGTCTGTTGTTTTCGCGTAAGGAGACACGTAGGCGATAGTGGCGTGTCTTTTTACGCGCGATGACGCATACGGCGCGATCGAAAATTCACGGCCGGCTTTCGCGAAAATTCCATGAGGAAGTCCTGCGAAAGAAATATTTCATTTAACACAGAACTAATTATAATTCTTATAACATTTCTGCTGTTATTACATTCATTAATAGCTTGTAATTGTGCGTTTGTAGATCTACTACATGAACGAATCGATAATTCAACTAAGAATCTTTAAAGGTTTGTTCGCGTCGCATGCTCTTGAGGAGATCCTAAAGCTTCCTGTTTTACCGATTAAATCATGTAATTTTTGTATAACAAATATTTTTTTCTCTTTTACCGATTCGAAAATCCTTTTCCAGGATTAAAGTAATACGTGTTTGGGAAGTGAAGTCTATGCCTAGAACGATCAAAAATTTCAAAATTGATATATTTTTTATCATTTCTTAGTGAAACAGCGTTTCAGCTGTCAAATCGTGACAACATTTGCTTGAAATGAATACTTTGCAACCCGTACGTACGAAATAGTGGTTTCCAGACACGTAGTTTATACGAACAAATAACGTTGTTATTAGTTCTTAAAATTAGATTTAGACGCTTTATTGCGACGAATTTGTTATACGAAAATTGACACGAATGTGTGATTGCGTGTATCATAGATTGCGTGAGATATTGATGTGGTAGCATATAAAAACATGTCGATGTGCGGCGCGCGGCGCGACCTCTGGTGACTTCATCGGAGTTCGAGTTTGCTCTAAAATGATCCTACTATAATATTTACTCACTCTAACGCGCTTGAAGTGAGTAGGAGCTGTAGCAGAAGTATATTGGAGCATGCTGGAGTACACGACGCGAACAAACCATCAGTAAAGATTATCAATTCTTTTATTATTTACACATATAACAAGTGTCTCTTTTATTTAATAAAAAATTAATGTTATATTTTTACTTTATAATAAATAATTATCATAAATAATGTATGCATAATAAGATAAAAAAGCGTCGAATGTTTTCCGGTTTGGAATTATTTTACAGAATTATTTTGTCATGCAAAATTTTTTATTTTCCAGAGATTATTAAATCTAAACAAGCAATTATGTTGCCAATGTTGAATGTAGTCATACTCATCACTTCAATTGTGGTTTTTCCAAATATCGATCCTGTAATTTCTTCCTCTCCGGTTTTTCAAAAGAATTGTACAACCAATACGGAGTGCGAACCAAATTCTTGCTGCTTATTAGGTTTGTCTCTCTTTTTTTTTGTTTATATTAAAATTTAAGTGCCCTGAAAAAAGTGCCTCTTTGCAAAAAAATATTTTTTAGATTAATGCGTGCGTGCGTGCGTGCGCGCATTACATAAATTCTGAAAATGGACAAATCAGAATTTTCTGGTTGAATCTATTATAATTCTAATTAAGATAATCAGAATTTTGATTAATTTAATCAGAATCTTCTGGTTTATTCATTTTCAACCAGAAATTTTTCGTGATATAAAATTCCTTCTTGTAATATTAATATATTCATATATGTATATAGTAATATTTAAAACATTCTAACAACAAAGGAACATAAATATATTAAATATATATTTCCGGTTAAGAAGTACATTTCGAACTCTTAACAGGTGCATTGAATATTATTGATTCCTTTTAGGGCCTATGAGGTACTCAATACCAACTTGCATGCCATTCCGGCAGAAAGGTGAACTATGTCGAGTAAACGCTGAAACTATTACGACCAATTTGACTTACCCGAACACTTTGGAAATCAAAGTTAAAGATATTCATTACATCCTGTGTCCTTGCGCTGACAGATTATCCTGTAATCCAAAACGCGGCATCTGCAAGTAGAATTTTCTTCAATCAAAATGGACTGGAAACATCATAATCATCATGATTATACGGGGCCAAATATTTTTAGGAAACAAATAATATTGAGGAAATATTTTCAATTGTATGTTGACAGTAGTAGAAAATATTTACAAGAAATTAAAACTTAAATTAAAGTATTGTTAATCATTATTCTATTTGTTATATTATTGTATTATTTTATTTTGTTATTATATTTTTACCTTTTTAAATTATTATTTAGATTAAAAATGCTAATCATATATAAATTGAAATAAAAACAGAGTTTCATATGCTTAATTAATATTAATTTATAAACAAATTGCATACGATATTTTTAAAAACTTATATATTAAACACGTACTATATAATTTTATAACAAATTAAAAAAAATTGTTATATTAGAACAATCTGGGACAAAATTAATTATTATCTTCAATTTGTAAAAAAAAGTCTTTTATTTCAAGGAAATTAACAATCTAATTTGTAAAAAAAATTAGAAATAACATTAAGCTCCTTAATGTAAAAAAAAAATGCAAAAATTGTTTAAATTAAGTACAATTATATTTCGCAGTCATGCATCTGATGATTGTTGATTTAAGTATTATTAAAAAATTTAACAACAAACAATATTTATTTTTTATTATTATAAATAAATAAATAAATAAATATCTTTTTATATATATGTAAAATATTATTTTTTAAGAAAAATA